TCTGGTTCCCTGAATGCTGTCATGGACCAGAGCTGCCCAGTCATCCTGGAATACATGCCTACCTCTGGACCATTATATGAGAGAGAAATAAACTCTATCGTAATTTTTTTCTTTTTTCAGAGACAAGGTCTTATTACATTTGTATACACAGGCATGGTCACCTCTGATCAGCACAGTTTCGTACTGTTTCATTTCTGACCTAGACTGGTTCCCCCCTCCTTAGGCAACCTGGTGGTCCCCAACTCCAGGAATGTTATCATACTGATGCTAAATTTAGTGAAGACACCCAAGTGGAATAGCATACCACAGCACAGGCAGAACTCCTGGACTCAAGCAATCCTCTGGCCTCAGGCTCCTGAATTATCTGCGACTACAGGCATATGGCACCACACCCAGCTAAACTATAAACTTTACGAGTTATTGTGTTTGGGGACCTCTTTGTTATAATAGTTTAGCCTGTGCCTTAGAGGTACCATACATGACCTCTCAGAAAAGACGATATTTAAATGAAGACTTAAATGACAAGAACGAGAAAGTCATACAAAGAGGAAGAGAAAGAGCATTTGGGGTCAACGAAAATCTCCTTAAGTATGGCTGGAGCCGGGAGTGAATGGTGGAGATGAGGCTGGAGGAGAATTAATCCAGAAGCAGGTCACATAGGGGGTTGGAGGCTAGGGTAAGAAATTTTGATTGTAAGAATGATAGGAAATCAATGGAGACTTAGTAAGTATCATAATTGGCCTTAAGTTTTTTAAAAAATTCATTCTGGCTTGCTTCATGGGAAATCAAGTGAGGTGGCAAAGTGAAGACAGAGAGACTACTATAGTTGGAAAGCTACTGCAATAGTTGAGGGGAACTAATTTTAGTGCTTTGTACCAGGGTGGTAGAAGTAGAGATAGAAGGGAACAAATTCTTGAAATGTTTTAGAAGTATCAACAAGGCTAATGATGGACTGAATGTAAGACAATGCAGGGGCTCGGCGCCTGTGGCTCAAGCAGCTAAGGCGCCAGCCACATACACCTGAGCTGGCAAGTTCAACTCCAGCCCCGGGCCCACCAAACAACAATGACAGCTACAACCAAAAAATAGCTGAGTGTTGTAACAAGCACCTGTAGTCCCGGCTACTTGGGAGGCTGAGGCAAGAGAATCACTTGAGCCCAGGAGTTGGAGGTTGCTGTGAGCAGCTCCAGGCTCTGTCTCAAAAAAAAAAAAAAAGGAGAATGCAGGAAAGAATGGAATCAAGGGATGACTTTGGGCTGAGAACAGTGACTCAAGCCTGTAATCCCAGCACTTTGAGAGGCCAGGAGTTCAAGACCAGCCTGAACAACATAACAAGATCCTAACTCTACAAAAAACAGATAAAAGTTAGCAGAGTGGCTCAGTGCCTGTGGCTCAAGTGGCTAAGGCGCCAGCCACATACACCTAAGGTGGCAGGTTCAAATCCAGCCCGGGCCCGCCAAACAACAATGACAGCTGCAACCAAAAACTAGCTGGATATTGTG